CAACTATATGGATTAAGCTAATGATAGATAGATTTAATAAAAAAAAATAAATATAAAAATAGTATACATATTTGTTATACAAACTAACAATTATAACTTAATTTTCTTTAGATTGATTAAGTGTATATGAATCTTGATCATACATATATAAAAATTATATTTTTTTAACTGGTTGATTTTTTATTAAATTCGAAAATTAAATATCATATATAGTAAATAATATATATATTGTTAGTTCAAAATTTTTATGAGAAAAAAATCTAATTTCACAAACTTAACTTGAAACAAAAAATAATTTCAATTTAGTATTATAGATACTCATATATGTAATAGTTTGTAATTTCATATACAATATTTGCTACTAAATAAATTAAAATAATGAATGAATAAAGCCTTCTTATACAAATAACCAGATTGAAGATATTCTGATAATTCTTTATACATTCATACAGTTTTGATTTCATATTTTTTTATATTTTTGTAACCAAATTAATATTAATTGATTTTACAATAATTTTAACTCCATTATTTACTATTATTGTTATAAATAATCTTTGCATAATAATTCTTATACTTTTATAATTATTTGTACGAATATCGTGATATTGACAAATTATTTCTTTGTATATAAAACAGCTACTGTAGTTGCTTTAATATTGACTACGGCTTTAGCTTCAGGCTATTTAGTCAGATAATCTGAATATTAATTAGATGTATAAGTTAAATCGAAAGAGCAAGTTCTTGTAAATTATTTGAGAATTAGTAGCTTGTACAAATATATAAAAACTATATTTTTAGGATTAGACTTAATATAATAAATATCAAGTTGGCAGTTATTATAGAAGAAGCAAATACACAAGATAATAAATTCTTTAGCCTCCAATCTTTAGAAATTTTAGATTCTTCTATTTTGATAAAACAGAAAAACAAGGCAGAGAAAAGCAAGAGAGATAGACCAAAAATACAAATTTGTGATGATTATAGTAAAGGTGAAGATAATGATTATAAACATTATGAAGTCAATTGTTGTTATTGTAATAAGAAAAGGTGGCAACATAGCAAGCTTTTGGTTATGAAAGCTCATTTGGCACTTTATTGCAAGAGATCTATATCAGATGATATTAGAAAGAAATAGTTAATTAAAGTTGCTAAAAGAGATAAAAAAGTGAAAAATAATAAAGATGATAATATTCTAATTAGAAAAAAAGTCAAAACTAGTGTTCCAAAGTTCAGTTCAGTTTAATTTAGATTC